AGCTTCAGATCAAGCCTTAAGAGCTGATGCTGCCTAAGCACGTTGTTGACTTTAAGCTTGGGTTTAAGTCTTATGCCTCCAGTGGGACTGAGAAGTTCATCAAGTTTTGCCCTAGTGACTGGGTAACATTCTCCAAAGTGCCCACATTAATGTAGGTGCTCTTATTTATAAATTTGGAGCAAAATTTCAAAAGCACGTAAAGTCATGTGTTTTGTAGCATTTTCATGTTTTGCAGTGGGGTAATTGTAGGTCTGTAATTGGAGATCTAGATTCTGGCAGCCCAGGTGGTACTGGACAGGGTGTAAGTTCACAGGCATTCCTACCAAATTCAGCAACGTGACTACTGGGGAACTAACATGCTCTGTCTCTGAACTTAGCCCTCACTTAATTTTTTTGTCCTCAGGAAAAAAAAATATTAGATCGTTAATTAAAGCATATTTTAATCTCAAAATTTTTGTGTCTTTCTTAACAGATGAAATAACTTAAGTCTTCTAAATAGTTTTCCAATAGGTGCACCCATTCATTCTTTCATATACTGTTAAAATACAGTTTACTTTTAAGAAAGGGAACACATACAGACTCTTGAAGTATTTTAAATACTATTAACCTGTTATAACTGGTCAGCATAAAAACTTCACAGGGCTGGTTAGAAACTTTTTCACAAGAGATCCTCCATTAAAACAAATAATTCAAATCAAAACATTTTATAAAATTCTAACAGTTTCTATTAAACTTATCAGATGAGAGTCCAGAAGGGAACCTTGGATCCGGTGGGAAATTTTTGGTCACAAACATAAAGGAAAGGAAAGGAAAACAAAAAATATGCCCCAGACAAACCAGGTCAATCGCTTCAGATGAGAGAAATGCACATTCAAATCCTCTCCCGATGCTTCAGAAAATACTTGACCCAGAATATTTGCATCCCAAGTAACCATGTGTCTACCTCCTTCTCTTTCAGATTTTACAAAGATGTCAAAAAGTCATGTTTTCATCTCAGTGCGACAAGGTTGGAAATCTTGGCATCTTAAAAAGGTTGGAAAAATAATTTCCCACTCAGTTCAATTGAGAACTCTAAGTTCCAGGTAAAATCAGGGTGAACAGGGGGTAGGCACTGCACTGGGATTTATGAAATGCCTGCCAAGTAGCCTGCTTTTAATGCACACCAGAGAATAGCATTCCTTGCTAAGAAGTCCTAATCAGCATTGTGCATTTTTTAAAATTTGCTCAAAGGCTTATGTTTTTAAAATGACCCTTCCACCTACTCTATTAATTACAAACTCCAGCATAAAACTGACTTTTCTACAGCCTCACTGTGAAAGCTGAAGATTAGGAGCTAAAGTTGTTTCAGACCCATGCATAAATTAAACAGCGTATGCTCCAAGCACACATCATTTTAAAAACGTGTTCTATAAAATGTCTAATACTTAGAGCTTACAATGCATACAAGAGGACCATTTAAAGATGGAGATGAAACATGTTGCAGGGATTTTGTTTAAAAGAGATGCTAAAAGATTTAGAGAACAGTATCCATTTTAAAACTATGTTTCTTGACTGCTGCAAGAATTTGAATGCTACATGCCAAAGTTTCCAAAATTAACAGGTGCTTTTGGATACCTGACCTGGGGCATCTCAAGATGCTGATTTTCAGAAATTCTTTAACAATGATGTGCCTTAATTTTGGCAAGAAAAACAGATAGACAAAGTGACAAGTGATCCCCAAAATACCTTGGCCTCAATTTCCTTCTAGATATTGACATTCAGCCAAAAATGTTTCTCACAAAAAAAAATATTAACCAACACCAAAGTTTCTCAGGCAACTAAAAACTCATTTGGTGAAAGGTTTCTCAGGTGCCAAATGGGATTTCTGAAACAGATTTCAGAAACAGAGAGGGGAAAAAAAATCTCAGAGAAGTTGGGACATTTTGTTCTGCAGAGCAGGAAACAAGCTTGTTCTGCTTCAGTTTCTGCTCCACTCCACTCACTAGTTCCCATGTAAAAGCTCAGTGCTATGGTCTTGGAGAAACAACCTCAGTAGAACCAACAGAAAATTCAAAGTGAGAAGAAAACTTCGGCACATGGTAATTCTGCTGAGAGCTAAGAAAGTAAAATAAATTACCCCTTTATAATATGGTCCAACAGCTGACACATCCTAAAATCTACCTCTCTTCCTCCCCTCCCCTGAAATCTCAACTTTTCTATAGGGTAATCCTATCTTTTTACAGAGCTCTTATCCAGTAACTTGCCCATATAATGCTAAGTTTTGTCTTTTAATCTACTGCAATTCCAAGACAATAACTTCCTATCCAGACTACATGGAGTGGCTACGTGATACTCCAGTGTTCTTTGCTGTGGAGATTACAAAATTAAGTTCATACTAATGGCAGTCCCACACAGATTCAGGAGTAATACCATAACTTTAGCTTCTGGAACTGAAGATTCCTAAAATGTATTTTCAGGAGTGACAGTTTCACTAAACAATCCTTGAAGTTGATGGAGAACTCGTGCTCATTTTAATTGATTTTGCATTGGGCTTAAATGAAAGGCCTCCGCAGTCATTCAACAGGTAGAAGGAAAGAGTGCCTTCTTTTAAAGTCTGGGAGCTGAAAACCTTTCTAAAATCAGAGAGTAACGATATGGCTAACACTAGGTTTGTGATACGCAGTATTCATAAAGGGGATTACAATCCAGAAAAAGAAGAATTTATTCCCATTGGAAAGCAATGAATAAAGTAATGCTGTGATGAAAACCATTACAGCCTGCTCAATGGCAGGAAATACTCATTTTCTGGTTAAAGAACACATAACTTGTCAAGGAAAACATGCATTAGGTAGAGTGAGCTAGCAAATCTACCCATTACAGAATGAGAGACTAAAGTACTGAATTTGCTGTGCTAGCAAGCGGTGGCACGGGGGTATTGCTCCTGCAAGACGCTGTTGCCACCCTTGTTGAAAAGACAATTAAGAGTCATCTCCTTCACAGGAACGCCCTGGCCTCCTCTCCTTTCCATGACAGCTGTGGGGCTAAAATGTGCCCTTGCCTTTTCCCCACAGGGACAGAGCGGCCTAGGGATAGAGCTGATTGCACAAGACCACTCAGTGAAAAACAGCTTTAAACCTCACCTAACCCTGCTGTAGAGAGGTATATTCCTCACACTGCCAGGCTTTGCCTCACAACCAGCATATCCTGCTGTCTCTGTAGACTCCGCTCCTCATGTTTCTGCCCTCACCTCACTGAAGTACAGATGCAAGGGAGCAGACATCTGTTAACACAGTCCTGCACCTTGAAACAAATTTAGCACCACTGGCAACCTGAAGAGTAAGTAAGTCCCATAAGCAGAAATAAATCAGACCACAATCTCAAGATGAAAAACTATCCCCAAATCAGGCCTGACAAGATCCACACTGTATTTTACTTAGAAGCAAAGAGGAGGTACAAACCAACCCAAATTAGCATTGTGATTACTTCTTAAACTGCAGTAAAACTCACCCCCTATAGAACTAACTGCAAATTCCTTGCATTTCTTGTCTTGCGTTCTGATCCGATCTTTAAAATGATGCATGGCGAAGGGAAGGTGGGAGGGGGTGCCTCTAAGCCACATCATGTGCTTTATGGAGACAAGCCAAGCAGCTACTTAGGCAACCATTAGGTCGGGAAACAATCGCTTCCATCATTCCCAACACGTGTGTCAACATAATTCCATGCTCTCTTTGTCATGCAAAAAGTCTTGGCAAAGTGACCGGATACACCCAGAAAGCAGGAGCAAACTAAGCTCATTATGTTAACCGGAGATCCCACAGCATCCTCCAGTGCCATAGAAGGAGACTTCCCATGTTTTGCAGTGTAGGAAAGGAAACTCGCTGCACTGAAAAGCACCCAAGCCAAGCCTGGCTTCAGAAGTATATAAGGGAGATTCACAATTGGGTTTCATGGATGAGGATCCCTCGTCTGACAAGCACAAGAGGTAGCGTGATAACAGGCGTTACAGAAGGTATGACACCTCGCATAACTACAGAGACTTCCCTCTCCTGTGTGCTCGCTGGAAGCTGTCCAGCCATGCTAATGTGGCTCTGCAAAGGGAAACTACTGCCAAATGAGAGTATCGGCTTCTCTAACTCTATTGTTGTCATTGGTACCTCTGGACTTTGTTTTTGTTTTAAAGGAAGATTCAATGCATTTTACAACCATTAAACACGTTTTCTTCTCTGCAGCTGTACTTGTAACTTTTACTAACAGCAAAAGGCTTGTGCACATCGGAATGGCTGGCAATACCACTCTAATGGCTTCTTTGTGTGGTCAGGTACAGGAGGAAGGCCCTTCAATCTGTCTGAAAAATGGCAAATACATCTTTGGTGCTCTAGCAACTGTAGAAGATGGTAAGTATCCCGGAGCATAATTATTTGTTTATTTAAAGAAAACCAGTTGGGGTTTTCACTAACAATTTTTGCTGCATCTTCCAATTCCAGATTCAGTGCAGTAGGAGGAAAGTCCTAATGCTGCTGGATATTTGCAAGCCCTTTCAAACTTGAGCTGCTTTGCCTCCATTCTGCCATGGGTAACATATGTTTTTCAACCCATTTTGCCTCTTGAATGCTTGTTAGTCCAATCTTGGTTTTAGTAATGCATTCAGCAAAACACAGCTCCTCAGCATATGACATCTCCTCTAATGAAAGCCAAGGATTTCTGTTGATTGTTGTGTTTAAGCCTGTATCAGTCACACTATATGCTTTGTTCCTTAAGATGCCGTATTTTTGGCAGATCCCGTTACCACCCACTCAAGAATCAAGAGCAGAGAGTGCTGTCCAGATGGGTACGTGTAGAAGAGCCCTTCCCCCAGCATGATCACTGGAGTGGGAATAAGCATCTGGTTCTGACTTTGTCTTCTCCCTGCTCCATCACCCTGGGCAAATTTACACTATACAGCCTTCTGAAAATGTACATCAAATATTACAGGACATTCATTAGCAAGTCAAATAAAACAAAAGAGTAAAAAGTGAACATACCTGAATAAGAGAAACGTTGTGTAGACTAAGCCTGAAGAGGTAGTTCCTGCATGAACAAGCAGAAAAATTACAAACTGTTAGGCTACCAAAGAAGGAAGGGAAAAGTTATAAAAGCAAGTTATAGTTCTTGGTCATTCATTTCTACAAACAACAAGCTTTTCTTGGACTCCACTCCACAGAATGCAAAAATAGTTATATGCCTCTTGTTCACCAGTGTCTTCGTGAACCTCGTAACAAAGTTCTGAGCAGGTCTGGAGTAAAATATTCCAGAACGCATAATGAAGAGCCACAATGAAATCCCAACAACACAGGGACTGTTTGCAAACCCTCAAAGGGCTTTAGTTGAAGTCCTGTATGGGCTGCACTCATGTTTTTCTCTGCATTCTGAGAAAACTGGGGTTGGACAGAAGCCAGCTGGAGCAAAGCTGACTCCTGTAGTATGCTCCCCTCCAAGCCCGTCCCTGTGAGTGCTCCCATTCAGGACTTTGTGGAAAAGGAAGAAAAGAGGACAGATACTTCTCAGCAGAATCTCTCTGCACAGAAAAACAGCAGGGAAATCAAGGCAGTGACTGCAGATACTCCCAATCCTCCTGTCATTGTATCTCCACAGGCAAGGCAAGGGAATTCCTGACAGAAGTCACTGTAGCATGAGATACCGCACATCAGCTAAGCTCCTGTAACCCTCCTTCTGCATGTTCATATCCTGTCACAAATAGGAGGGAACACACATTTGCATGAACATCTATGGGTGAGGCTTAGTTAACAGGATTTATCTCACATTTTTACGTGCTAAGACAATGCAGTTACCAGGAATCAGCTGACATATTAAGCCATAGGACTTGATTGTGTGCTTGAGGGTTTTGGCCATGTCTCACTTCATATTTCTGCACCCCATCTGTCAGGGAGTCTAAAGAGCTGTGATCTTTTTCCAACATCCCTGTCACCACAATCTCCCAGAGAAGACACATTTATATTATACCAGGTGAACTATGTTTTTGGAGGTGGCTCTATTTAAATAGTAGAAAATACAGCTTTGATGATATAGCTTCATCTGCTCTAGAAGTGCCAGTATACTGACATTCCCCTGCCTAGTAAAAATGCATGTTCCAGTCTTAGGTCAGTGAAGTCAGAGAAATCAGCAGAAAGCTCCTACCTATAGTGATGAAAAGGTCCTAAAGACTCTTCTAAAGAGCCCTCTTTAGGGTCTGGAGTCAGCAGCACACTCTGCCCAAGCAAAGCAAGTAATTCAAACTTCGACATAAGAGAGATTCGTATTGGGTCACAATGACCACAAGGCTTGAGCAATTTTTCCTTCTTCTGTAATCTCTCACTTGTATATCACTGAAGTCATAATCATAGAGTTGCCTGTATACTTTGTCCCAGTTCTACAAATAAACCAAAAGGTCTCAACTGCTGCTGACTGTCAATAAAGAAGGATGGGAACAAGGATGATGGGGAACTCCGGAAGTCAAACTCCTGGTACCAGATCTTCAGTTGATGTAGCTCTGATTTGCACCACCCTATTGTATACTGGGACTGGTTACCCGGAGAAGAATGAGACCCATTAGCAATATTTGAACAAAATATATCAGTAATTATTATACCACCTGTAAGTACGCAGAGAAGTACACACATACAAAAAATCTCCATCTTCTCTCCTGGTCCTGTCACTGGAAATCCAGCAGTTCTTTTGTACAGTCTGAAACCCTATTCTGCCTCAAAGGGCTGCATTCTTTCCCAAGTAATTTGTTAACTCTTTAGCATCAGCTACAGACTTAAATATTATGTCCTGTGGGTGCATGCAGCAGACCAGAGGCACTAAGCTTACATACAGCTAAAATTTCAAAATGGAGATAAATTCTTGTCCAGTGACTGACCTGACAGCTCCCTTAGAAAAACACGTGCTACTCTCACCAAAATATTAATGCAACTCCAGGACATGAGATATCATGGAATAAGCCTTCTCCTGGAGAAGTTAAGCATGTCACTGGCCTCCAATCTTACAACACCCTAAGGAGAAAGTTCTCATAACTAGGGACTTGAAGTTGCTATCCTGTTGTTAAGCATGCTATTTAAATGCATTGATTTTGGAAGTCTTATAATGCAGATTTCAGCTCCTTGTTTTAGTCTTGTAAAAAGCTGGACAGTTTGACTGAGTAATATATTTTAATATTAGTTTTTTTTCCCTGATAGCACTGCAGAGCAAATTCAACCAAAATATCTTTAATGGAAGAGATGTATCTAAAGGACACAATTTTCATTGCACTCAGCCAAAACAGCTGCAGACAGGAATAGTGTCCATTTAAATAAAGCCAATCTCTGTCCTCTCAGTGACTGCTGTGTAGCACCTGGACAAAGCATTAGTGGTGAGATCACTCAGGTGGCTGAGACCTAAACCAGGCAGGAACATAGTACTAATGTGAATAGCACAATGATCTTCCAAAGGCTTCATACTAACCGCAGCTCTCAAAGCCTGACCTTGTGGCTTTCTTACAGGAGGGAGGGTTTCCCTACATTTTTCATCACTTGCCTCACCTGGTGTCTGCACAGCCACTGGCAGTTTCTTTTTGTTTGTTTGATCCTTCTCACATCTCATCAGCAGTAATATGAACACCGACCAGTAGGTAGACCAGGCTATCAATCAGAGACAACTCCAGACTGCAGTTGACCTGCCCAGCTAGAACTGACTAATTCTTAATTAATAACATGCTCTTTTAACCATACTTGTTCTGTAAAGCTATACCAGGAGTAAAAAGCCAAGGAGAAAGATCTGCTGAATAAGACAGTGCCATTTTTATGAATTGCATTTTAACTGCAATTTCAGTCCAAGAATGAGCAAGGTCTCTGAATGACAGGCATGGTTTATTGTACCTAGAATTGCCCCATTTGTGTCCTTTTTTCTGCTTGTGTTTGAAGTTATGTCTGTTTAATACCTTGCTGAACTATAATTTAAAGCAGCTGAAAGAGTAGGATTAAGAAATACATGAGAACACTGAGATCTCTGCATGAATGGATGAGCTGCCTCCTCGGTCTTTTTTTTTTCCTTTTTTTTTCTCCCATTTTGTCTTGTAAGTGAACACTGGTTAATTCCTTTCTCTCTTAAATTAAACCCATCTGGACTAGGCCAGAAGAGCGATTGCCTGGTGCAGCCAGCTATTCTAATAACCTCCTTCTCCTGTATAAAAAGCTAGTGCACAAACTTGGAGGGATAGGACAACCTTCTTACTCACCTTCTGTCCTAAAAGGTCATGCAACTTCACTCTGTGGTATTAAAACATGAGCTTTGTTTCATCCCAGAGTTGGCTGCATTTCAGCCATCTCCAGAGCAAGTGACTACACCCCTCTAAGTACTCTGGGACAAATGATATTATACACATTAAAAGGTGCCTCAAACTGCTAATTATTATTACTACTAACCTGATTATTCGTGAACATCAGAGCATTTCTGAAAACGCCCATTTTAAACAGTAACACCCTGAAGTCTCAGCCACGACTGTGGTTTTGTTGCGTTAAGACACAGAGTGGGTTTACGGTGATTCCTCTGGAGACTGATTCACAGCAGATGCCTATTTAAACAACCTGAGGGTGGATTCTCTGTCACCTCCGATTGCAGGAGGATATTATCCCCCAGCTCAGATATATGAAGTTAGCTGCTGTAAAGACCCTCCTGCTCCATACAACCTAGTCTTGAAGAATTTACTATCTAAATATATACAGAAGACTGAAAAAGAAACACCATTCTCATTTAAATTTAAAGCATAGATTGAGCAATTTAGCCAACATCACAGAGCATATCTGCAGTACAACCATGAGCTGATCTCCTGGTGCATTAGTCTGTGCCCTGGTTAGGAGAATAAATTGCCCTCAATGTTGGGGCCCAGCATGTAAACCTGTGCTGAAGTGCCATTTACACTCATGGAAATTGGGTAGATGTTGAATTACTTTCCTGAACTGGGCCCTCTATACTAGTCTGCATATGAACAGAGCCAAGCTGCAGTATAAATCCTGTCAATGAAAGTATTTGTTAATTGGCTTCATAATTTGTATTTGGCTGCCTCGTAAAATGATTAAGTGCTCACTGTGCCTGGTACCACAAAGCATACGTACCAGAAGAGCAAGAGAGCAGCTGAGATGTGTTTCAAGAAAGGGTGGAAGAATATATCCACTTAAATCTACTTGCCATGACATTCCCAAGTTAAAGCTGCTTATTAAGTGTTTATTTCACATAGCCAAGCGCACCTCGGATGAACTTTGTAACTTGATGCCCATGCACTTGTTCACACATTGCCTGGCCTTGAAACAATTTACAGTGAAGGCAAAGTACTTCCTCTAGGATGCCACTGAGCAACAGAGCTACAAGACAAATTAAGCCGTTCCAATGGGAAGCCACATAACAAGAATGCTTGAATAATAGCAGAGACCCTTCCTCTCAGGAATTCTGAAATTATAAGGGTTGCAATGTGCTTCAGACACTCATTCAGGCCTCTTCTTCAGTGCTTCTTTTCAGGCACTACATCTGTCAGCACTGTGCTGGCTGATTAAAAGGTGCTTCCTTCTAATTAAAAGAGAGCACGCTTTTCAGTTCTGCTGTGGTAGATCAGGAGGAACATCTCTGCAGTCGATGGACTGAACAGGTGTAAATGAAAGGCTATTCTAGCTTCAGATTCTTTTTTCTATTTAAATGAGAGAGGTTTGTTCTCATTTCCCAACTCTGTCCCCCTCCACGCACACTAAGCAGGTAAGATAATCTCTCCGTGCTTCAGAACAACCCCTGCTAGCAACTCAGGAGCCATGAGATCCCTAATGCTGACCATGACCAGAACCTCTCAGGACTTTGACACACACACACAGACCAACAATATGCTGCCTTATCTCAGCTGGTCTGTATCACTACAAGACAAGTACAACTGCTCGCATGTTGCTACTTGCCTGCACCTTAGAGTAGACGTGAGAAGCTCACCCTTCCCTCATTACATGGCAGGCTATCTCAAGCCCCCTCTTTTTGTACTCAGACAATTACCCTGCAAGTAGAAACAAAGCCAACAG